CTTGCTGCTGTGTGTCTGCGCTGGTCCAGCGCTGTCTTGAGTGGATTTCACTCTTCCTGGCCCAAACCGTGGCCTGGGCAGCCCCTCCAGCCCTGGCAGGTGATGCTCTGTGCTGCTGCCTGGCACAGGGATGGTGCTGGCACAGGAATTTCCTGTGCCTCATCCAGTGTTAGGGGTGAAACTCTTCCAGGGGAGGATTTGGGTGGAATAGGGATGGCACCCTTCTGCTTTCCCTGAAGAGACTGGAGGACGTAAAATCAATGTTACTTCCAGTGTCTGAAGGGAGCCTGTAAGAAGGAAGGAGAGAGACAATTGCCAAGGGCTGCAGGGCCAGGAGCCAGGGAATGGCTGCCAGTGGCAGAGGGCAGGGCTGGATGGGATCTTGGGCAGGAATTGTTCCCTGGCAGGGTGGGCAGGCCCTGGCACAGGGTGCCCAGAGCAGCTGGGGCTGCCCCTGGATCCCTGGCAGTGCCCAAGGCCAGGCTGGACATTGGGGCTGGGAGCTCCTGGGACACTGGGAGGTGTGCCTGCCCATGGAACAGGATGGACTTTAAGGTCCATTCCAACCCAAACCAGTCTGTGATTATATGAATGTGGAGGTGGCCAAACCAACCAACCAAGCTATGACCTGAAAGCAGCTGGATTTCGAAGGATTTGCTCTTCCTCACGAGAAGGAGGAAACAATTTTTATTACTTCCAGAAGCCACGGTGAATTCAGAGATGGAAATCTTCTCCATTCCTCCGGTGTGTGCAGGAGGGGTATTATTAAGTGATCTGACTGATGTCAGAACGTGTCCCTGGGCAGGCAGAAGCACGTTCTGTGCCGGGCAGAGGTAGGGGGAGAACTCACTGACTCTTTGTCCTCAAAAAGAAACTGGAGCAGGGAACTCCAGCCCCAGGTCTCCAGTGACGATGATAATTTCAAGTGCTGTCTTTGGTATCGTGGTTTGATGTCCTTAGTAAATGACAAACAATTCAAATGTCAAGAATGCCTTTTCACTTGGAAGGGATTTTTTTTTCCCCTCCCCCTGTCTCTTGGAGTTTTACCAGCCTGTGTGAATCAATTGTGAGAATTTGGAGGTAATTTGTTCCAAAGAGACAAGGATCAGTGCGTTCCCTTGGCTCTTATTAGCTGGAAAGGGTGGGGGAAAGAAAATGAGCATGTAGCTTAATAGGAAATCAAAACTGGTCTGTGAATGTGTGTCTGGGCTGGCTTATTCATGACTGTGATACACATGTAAAATATGCTGGTGGTGCTACACAGTCAAAAACACTGCTTGCCAATGCTGTCAAATTACTATTTATTTCCTCTTAATTCCACTGGGTGTGACATTTATACATCCAAGTGTCCAAATACATCTATCATTTGGTTGGCGTTTTCGTTAGCCCTACTACAGCTCTGAAAGGTTATTTAAGTTTTTGCATGTGGGAATGACCAGCTGTGGAGATTTTAGAATTGAAAAGGGTACATTTATATTTTGACCTGACTTGACTTCGTCACTTTAAGTAAGTATTTTGTGTTTTTAAACAAGCAAACCCCCCTCCATTTTTGGGGGGAATAAATGAATTATTTAATTATATATTTATAATATAATATATATAATGATATCATTTTACCCTTTTAAAACCTCCTAGTCATCCTTTGGGATAGAAGACAGTATTTTAACCACTGGGTTTGCCAAAGGCAAGTGTTGTTATGTGGTGTCAGTGACGTGACAGGCTCCTCTGTGTAAACAGGTGATGCAGAGGGTGTCAGGGAGCCCAGGGGAGTGTGTTTACATTACGTGTGTTATTTTGAAAAGGAGATGATAGAGGTCCATTGTGCCTGTACGAACTGGAGGGCTGGTCCTCAGCTGAAGCAGTTTGCACAAAAATTTGCCATCTACTAAAACGTTGTGGCAGCTGGGGATGGGCACTGCCTGCTTCCCACTCACTGAGAGCTGGGCTGGAGGGAAAACCTCTTTTCCTGTGGCACAGCTTCCAAAGAGCCCTTTCAAACAACGTAAATGACAAGATGCTGTCATAGAATAAATTCTGAATGTGACAGACCAGCAAAGAACTTTCTCACTCCTTAATTATCTCCCCTCCTGATGTCCCAGGAGCTGGCAGCAGCAGTTGTGTCCCTGGAAATGTTTATACCCAGGTCCTTGAGGAAATTTTGGCATCTCCCTTCCACACCAGTGGGGATTACATGAGTTAGTAGCACACTCTTCTCAAGGTCTTTTTCACTCAGATTCAGGAAGAGCTGGGCAACCTTCCTGCAGCTGCACTTGCTGCTTCAGCTGGCGAAGCAGGAAGAGATAAGGCAGCTGCAATGCCATAGGTGATTTTATTTCTGAGGTCTCTGAAGCTTGAGCTTGGCTGATGTTTCATCAGAGGAGCCTGGGCTCCACCTGTCACACAGCCAAAGAGAAGGGTACCCTGTGAAGAGACAGCTCATGCTGGAGTGCCATGTGAGACAGGGAACAGCTCGTGGAATTCAGGCTCTGGAGATGGATTATATCCATCAGATACCGACTGACTGAAAAACACAGCTGTGCCTTTGGCCACACAAGCCCCTCAGGTTTGAAATGCCAGTCAAAGAACACCGAGTACAGGTTAGCTGTGTGACACAGGTCATGCTGCACCTGGGGAGGATTTTCCCCAACTATTAGATCCTGCAGAATGACTACTCCTCCTTTTGCCTTTTGGCCTAGGGGTATCATGAAAAGAGGTGCTATTTATAAAACAGCCAGGTAAACAATTCAGGCCTCATGTTCAAAACCTGTTTTTCAGTGTGTAGCTCAATCTCCCACTGCTTCTCTAGGCAGCCAAGTGCCATCAAATACATGTGGAACTACATGAGCCTTGTGATGGATGCTGGGAGCACTCCCCAAACATATCTGGAATGAGTAATAATGCTCAGGTGAAACAAGAGAAAAGAGAGGGAAAAGAAACCTGGCTGGAAAACCTTCCTTTGCTGGGAATGTTTGGATTAGATAATGTGAAGTTGCTGTTGAGTATGAGAAGCAGGTTTAGATCACCCTTTCCTGGCTTCTGGCGAGTTCCACCAAGCTCAGCATTTTAAATCATTAGTAAGATGTTGGTTTTGCTTTCTTTTCTCTAGAAGATGATTATGAGAGGGAGAAGGGGGGAGGAATGACTCAATCATGGAGAGACTTCCTAGGCATAAGAGAGTGGGCTCTGCCCCTGATGCCAGTGGGACAGAACTGGAGACAAACTGAAATAATAGAAGCCTCAGAGCACTAACAGAGCATTTATTCCCTCCATCACAGTGCAGCTTCACCTCTTGGTGACAGTGTATTTCCACTGCTCACTGCTGTGGTTACTGAGGTAGAAAGGGCACTCACAGAACAAGGACATTGTTCCAAGAACAGGAAATCTTCCTGTCATCCTTGGACTCCACTTTGTCTTTCCTCCTCCACCAGCCACGTCTGTCCAGCTGCTTATCAGTCCCTCCAGAACATCAGACCTTCACAGTGATCCCATCTCTTACTCATGCTTTACTCATTTCCCAACATGGCAATTACTGCTGCTCAATTCAGCCTTCCTAAATCCCTGTTTTGAATTTGAGGTCATTTAAAGCACAGATGTGGGAGGAAATTAATATAGTATTAATCCATATCCAAGTACATGCAAGGGTATAAAATACTCTGAGTATTCCAAGGGCAGCATCTTGTGGTTTCAGATGTTTGGGCATCAACAACATCCATGGTGCTGTTTAGGAAAAAAAGGATGCAGTCCCAGTGTGGAAATACCCTTCCCCAGCAGCAGGCACAACAACACCTTCAGTCAAATTTATCACTGTCCCTTTCACACAGGGAAAGGTGTGTACAGACCTGCTGTGGGTGAAAACTCTCTTGCATGGCAAAAAGAAAGCAAAACAGATTTTAAGATTCTAACCTGGGAAACGAGTAATTCCGATAGATCTTAGATGAGGTATCAATCTCTTCAAAGCCAAGATCCTGAAAAGCACAGCACTACTCCTGAGGCAAACACCTGCCTGAAGCAGCAATTTTAAAACAACTGCAGTTTGTCAGTTTAAAGATCTTGTTTCCTGATAGTTTTGTTGAGCAGCCATGCAGCTAGCACACACTGAATAGCCCAAAAGTGTAATGTAGGGGGGAAAATAAAAATAAAAACAACAAAAAAAATCCCAACTAGGAAGTGTCCATCACCTGCCTCTAGGCCAAAAGGATGAGCTGCCATCTAACAAATTAAGTCTGAACAACAAATAACAAACAGGAAAAGGGCTGTCTGACCTTCTTAGATGATAAAACCTTAACAGAGGAGGTTTTTGCAACCCAGTTTCTCCATGTTAGTAGTTTTCAGACACCCAGAACAAAAGATTTCATTGGGTTCTTTTACTAGTATTCCTACTTGCAGCTAAACCCCAGAGATTATTAAGAATTCATTTGGTAATCAGAACAGCTTGGATGACTAGGAAATGTCTGAATATCATAAAAGTGCCATTATTTATTAAAAGAAGTAATAACAAGAATGTAACTGCTCGACATAAAAAGTTACCAGATGATTCTCTGCGTATTTTGAGCATGTATACACCTGACAGTCAAAACCCAAGACTCCTCAGGGATCTCCCTTCCCTCTGTTGAGGAGCAGCACTTTTGAAATCCAAATCTGAGTTGCTCTGATGCCCTGTTTGGAGCAGCAGCCACTTTTGGAGTTACAGGAGCAATTCTGCACTCCCCACATGTCCTGCCCAGTCCCAGGCTTCTGTGTGTGCACAGCATGGTTACAGTCCTACAGCCCTGCACTGCTCTGGCTCACAGCCATGGGAATTTATTTGGCCCAAACTAGAGAAATCTGTTTTTCCTGAACCCAGATTAGAAAAGTTTTGGATGGCTATTTCTGATGGTGATTTAGATTTGCAGATATATATGAGACATCAAAAAGGTCCTAACTCAAAACCACTTTTTTTCCATAGTTGCAGGATAATTTGGATTGATGAAAATAAGGTTTTCAAAGAAGAATGACAACAGTTAACACACCTTTCAATGTTTTACTTTTTCGCTTTGTTTCTTCTGATCACAAGCCTTTCCAGAACAACAAATACTGCAAACAGACAACTCTCCCAAATGGGCCAGGATGAAGTCACACAGTTGTCTGATGTAACACACACCTGTCAGGCATTCTTGAAGAAGTCACTACATTACTGAGTGTGCAAAACTAAGAAGTAAGTGCTAATGGAAGGTATCATTAAAAGTAATATAATTTTTACTACTGGTGAGGGTAGTTTAGTTGCTTCAACCTTTATATTATGACATGCAACTTCCTTATCTGCAGCCAACTTAATTCTGCTAATTTAGAAACCTTTCCATACATGCAACAACAGCAGAGCCTTTTGAGTCCTTTCTGCAACATTTTGGAAGAAGCTGGGAAATTACATACCTGAAAGACCTAAAATTCTAGAAATGAGTACATGTGGTATTTTACAGAGAGCAAGTCCAGGTGTTTCAGATGCCACATCTGTGCCTTCACAGCAACTAATAAGACATCACCACAATTATGGTCCCTGCCTTTATTTCACACCTTAACAACAGAGATATTGATAGATTATTTGAGAATTACAAGTTTAGAAACAAACAGCTGAGTGTAACTTAGGTCAGAGGTCATATTTTTAGGATGAGAGCAGAGCCATCACTTACAAATTGAGAGGAATTGTTCAGGCAGCAAGAACTAAAAAAACTTTGATAAACATCCCCTAGAGTCAAAATGCTCCTCATTCTTCAAAGGTGGTCTTATTGCTGTGACTGATTTACCATTTTAAGGTTTCATTCAACAGGTCTACTGGACAAGAAATTTTAAAGAATTGAAAACAGCAAGCCTTTTCGACACCATGGTGTAAAAAAAACCAAACCAAACAAACAAAGCTCCCCTGAAAATCAGACACGCAGCAGACACCCTTCCAGGAGTTACAGCAGGAGTGTCAGTGCTGACCTGGCATTAACAAGCACATCTCATCTGGGTTATGATCACTAATGCTGGTCCATCTGCAGGGGTGTCCGCCAGGAGACAGGCTATCCATCGTGTGAGAGGAGATGTGGTGAGGCTTCCCATCCTTTCCTGACACAAGATCTGCTGTTGGGTACTCGGGGACTCTCTCCAGCTGCTACTGCATGAACAGGATGCTGAAGGCCATCACCACACAGCACACGGCCACGTAGGGGCTCTTCCGCTCACCTGGCAGGAGGGGAGAGAACACAGAAGAAACAGGAATTCAGAGATGGCTAAACAGACCCACCTGCTGCTCGTCCAATGCTGCAACTGTGCCACAGCACGTGCAAACTGATATTCAACATTTCTAGCTGGAGAAAGGCAGACACAAGTACAGCTCTGTACTCACACAGAACATGCGTGGGCAGTGGGGAAACTCAAATGTAGGACAGGTTATTTTGCTATATAAAAACAGAGTTGAGGCTCTTTGCATTAAGAGAGGGACTTGTGAACAAGGGCATGGAGGGCCAGGACAAGGGGGAATGGCCTTAGACTGAAGGAGGGTGGGGACAGGTGGGATCTTGGGCAGGAATTGTTCCCTGGCAGGGTGGGCAGGCCCTGGCACAGGGTGCCCAGAGCAGCTGGGGCTGCCCCTGGATCCCTGGCAGTGCCCAAGGCCAGGCTGGACATTGGGGCTGGGAGCTCCTGGGACACTGGGAGCTGGCCCTGCCGTGGCAGAGGTGGGAATGGGTGATTCTGGGTCTCTGTGAAACCATGCAAGGGCTTCTATCTCAACAAACCACCTTTTGAGGTGCAGTTTTATGCTGCTGCTACCTCCTAGTGCCAGAGTCAGGGGGCAGGCAGTGGAATGCTGCCCAGGACAATCCATTTTTGCTGGCTCTGCTCCTCTGTGGCTGCTCAGGAGCTGTTCTGTGTCAGCTGATGTACAGCTGGTGCTGTCTGGGCCTGGTACCCACCACCTGCAGTGTGAATCTTCTGAGCAGGGAGTCATGCAGCAGCCAGAGCAGTGAGCTCACAGCTGCCCAGACAGGGACAGATGACTGTCTTTTTCTGCTTTGCTAAGAAGACATAACATTGTTAGCATGTGGAGTAAGTCTGGTCCACACATTTTGTGATGAAACTGGTCAGCAGATCACAGAAGCTGCACAGACACCTCTATTTTCTGACTCTTTCAAATTGGTGTCACAGCTTCCCAGGGCAAACTGTGGACAAAAGTTAAGTTTACTCCATTGAAAGACTTTCATCTGGTGGCAAAAACGATTGTGAGAGATCTATTCCCACCCATTTGGTCCAGTACAGAATGCTACAGGGGTCTCTTTTTCACCGAGCAGAAAAAGATTCTCAGATGGGGAACTGTGAACCTACCAGGAGAACATCTTTGAATCAGACTGGTACCTACTTACATGAGCACTTCCTCCATTAATTAGCAAGATGTTTTTACACTTAAAACTTTATTCTTCATGGTTCCACTGAATTCTCCTTGGAGAGACCAACAGTGGATGGTACCTCCAGCCCACAGAACTGCCAGGGAGTATTAATACTGAAATGTGTCTTTAAGGTGAGAAGATCTCTGTTTTCAGACATCCAGGGCTGTTTGCTTTAAGCAAAGTTCAATTTCCCTCTGCTGTGTGAGGTCTTTTGTCTTTACAAACCACCTTATCAGAGACATGGTTTTCAGAGAAACATCAAAGAAGAAAACCCACCAAGGCTCCCAAGTCTAGCACGGTGCAATTTTGTAAGAAAAAAAAAGTATTTTCTTTTACCAGCAGGACCTTTAAACACAGAGGGAACAAGCTTTCCACAGTAAAAGGAAAATTAAATACTTGCAGTGACACCTCCCATACACAGGACTGACTGCCCGGTAACATTACAAGATGCTGTCATGATCTGCCATATATTTAATTAAACTTCAAATAACTGAACGAATTAATGTCTGCAGTTTCACATCTGTTTAAAATAAATTTTGAGGAAGTCCAACTCCTACGGTTCAGGGTATTAAAATTTTCGTATGGGTTATGCTTTTCTGCTCTTAATTTTCTTAAAAGAAAAATCACCATGTGGCAGGATTAAACATTATTTTGCACAACTTTGTAAATATGTAACCACTTGCCTGTGATTAAGATCTTATGTACATGTGAAAAGGTTGTTTAAACATACCAGGGATGTGAAATGTAAAGGAAGAAGCCAGTAGACATTTTCATTTTTAAAACCTGCATTTTCTACTTGCCTTTATGGTTAACACACATAAAATTATAGGCATCATCTCCAAAGCCCATTTTCACTTCTTAGTCTAAAAGAAAGTCAAAGTGGTCCACTCTAGATGGGAATTGCAAAAGAAACATAGCTAATTGAAAAAAATATCCTTGCACTTAATTAACTACAAAGAAGATGGAAAGGGCAAGGTTAGGTGAAGTATTCTCTTCAACCCTGAACAAACCCTAATGCAGCTAAATTTTAAAATTTGTTTTCACTGCTATAGCTGAAAATTCTTTTTTGACAGCTGCCACCTTCCCAGTATCTTTCAATTACAGCACTAAAATGGGTTCTGCTAGGTCTATTATCTAAGTAGGACAATATCTGCAATCATTTTAACAACCGGTCTTCACAAAACCCCTCTTCTTTTGTGTCAATGCTTTTTTTGACATCCTGTAAAATGTTCTGCCTGGGAATGCAGAAAGGGAATCATACAGGCTTTCTTTAGGTTCAGTGACAAGTAGGAAGATCTAGAATTACAAGTTCAAAGTTTCTGCTCTGAATTAACAATGCAATTTGAACACTGATGACGGGTTTGTAGTTTTGTTTTTTTTTTCCTAAATCGTGGATATACCTTAATGTTAAGACTAAACTTCTGTTGCATATTCCAATTTCCTTCTCAAAATAAATTCAGGATAAGGATTAAAATGAATATAAAACCAATGTTATGGGAACATGTCAAGAATCAGATAGAGCTGATCAGCCTGTGTGCAGATGTCACTTGAAACGAACAGCTTTGTGTAATTCAAAAGCGCACAGAAGCTGAGTAAAGAAAGGAGAGGGAAAAAAACCACATTTATACTTAAAACAGAACCTTAATGCATTATGAACTCCATATTCTTTTACTACTATGAGGTAAATATCTGGCTTTTTTTCAACAGTCCATTGCAATTTCAAATGGACTGCAGTTTGTAAGAAATCACTGACTTCTTTGCATGTTAGAAATACACCCTTAATTGTGGCAAAAAGTACAAAAGACTTTTGAAAATATAACACCAGACACATGAACTGACATGAGAAGATGCGGGATTTCCATGATGCTAATCTAAGAAAGCAATATCCTGCCCCACTATTTCATACCTGCATTTTTGAAGAAAAAGGATGTGTATGGTTTTCATTGCTACATGGCAATATTATCCTAATAAATTATGTTAGAAATAGGACTGATCTTAAGGATTTTGAAAGAAAAAAAGGAATTACCAATCCTGGCGCATTTCCAGAATATCCCCAACAATCTGTAAAGATAAAATAAGTTCATTAGGCTCTTGGTTTAATACATCCACATCAACTAATTTTCTTTCTTTTATATTAAAACAATCTGAATTGACAGTAATTTGTCAACTTGATTCTCTTCTAACACCAGAAAACAGCAGATACCTGCACATAAGGGTACAGATAATGAATTACAGAAGTGGCAAATTTTAAGTCTAGCAGGAGTCTTTTTGCATGCAAAGATGCATTTAACCCATCCTGTCTTCCAGATCTCAATAGTTATCAGAACCCTGTATTTATCTACAATAAAGTACTCCAGACAGAAAATTCTGTGAAGAAAAATATCTTCCCAATTCCTCTGGCTCTTTCTTATTCCTTTACCAATATTTACCCTGCTCAAGTCTCTCCTGTGCTGCTTGCCCAGGACATTACCTCTCACAAGTGAAACAGCAACAGGGAAGAGCAGAATTCAACAAAAGGAACACCCAAAGGCATGTCACAAACCTGCAGTTTCTCTGTGTAACTAAAACAATCTCATACTGACCCTCCCCAGAGGAGCAGGGACTGCTTTTATGATCTGAGGAAGACAAAGGGAACAATACTGAGTTGTCCCTGCGCAGGAAGACAGATTTCAGCTCTTCAAAGCTTGTCCACAGGAAGGTTTCCTTCATAGCATGGCACAGAACACTGTGGGGAAGCACTTAGAGAACTGCCATCAAGCAGGTAGTAGATACATCCCCACAAATAATGTTCTGAACTCACACCCACAAAGGTTTGGTTGTCTGTCTCTACCCCTTTTTGGGCTCTGAAAGTTGCTTACTTCTAACACATTTAAAAGCAGACAGGTAGGCTTGGGCCACTTGCTCCTGCATGCTTGAGCAGTCAACGTTTCACGCACTTTTATTGCTCTGCTACTTGCACTTTATGTCCTCTTTTATGGTCTGGGTTTACTTAGCATCTCTCTGTCCATTTAGCAGCCTCCTCTATTTCTGGGACAAAGATTCAGTGCTGGGCAGGTGAAAACCAGGTGTGGCAGCAAGTGAATGAGGTGTTCAAACTCAAAGTGAAATGCTTTTTGACTTAGGTACTCAATGCTGACCAATTTGTCATGAACAAAACTTCCATTTCCACTTTTAGAAAACATTCAGAAAAATGTTAGATTTTTAGAAAGCATTTTCATCTGTGCTTTTGATTTTAGTTTTACCTCAAGCAATATATATATATATACACACACATACATACATATTTGGGTTTGACTATATTTCTGTACAGCCAAAGCTCTATTCTTTCTCTTTTTATGTAGCTCCACAAGCAGAAGTAATGATCCCTGCACACAGACCACCACACTTTTCCAGGCTAAGAGATCATACAATAAAGTAACCTGAAGACATCTATGCACTTTTTGAAGATGTGTGCAGGTAGAAAGGCATTCACGTGTAAACCTCAAAGAGCAAAATACACAGCCCTGAAGTGCTCCATTGATAGCACCTCAGGTTCTCAAAACTGATGTTCACTCTCTGTAAAATTAGAATTTACAGATTGCATGCTGCAAAACCAACAGGAAAACTTCCACAACCCTGCTTCTCATATTGAGAAAAGGGTTCTCATCTCTCAAAAGCTTGCCCAGGAGCTCGAAGAAATAAAACATTACTGTTCTGTTCATATACTTTTGAAGAATCTTGCATGGGAAAAAGGGTATTAACCCCCTCAGGCAGCCTGGAAGTCTGTTGTATTTGCCTCAGAATCCCAGCAAGGGTATTTTTTTGTCTTGTCAGGGATTTCTTGACTAATGTGAAGCCACTACTGCACACTGCCCTACAAAGCCTTCTTGGTGAAACCAGAAATTTTCCTACCTGATGTGCCAGGTACAAAACAGAGGATGGCTTTCACCAGCTGCCCTTAACAGCTGCAATTAACAATTTATGAACCTGAAGGCACTGACATGAGGACTGACCAGCCTTCCCATGGTGACACCAGAACATTTTTAAAGAGGCTTTTGTGCCACTGGAACAGCTCAGTACCTCTGTTTGTCCACATAACCTGCTGCTGAGCAGAAGCAGGTTGAATTCTGGACCTTCTGGTAATACACCCTCTGCAAGAACTGCGGAGCTCCCACTGCAGGAAAAGCCTGTGCAGACCTCCTACTCCCCTAGTTTTTCCACCAGTGCTCATCCCAGGTGCGTAACAAGAACCTCTTCAAGTCAAAACCTGCTTGCTTATTACAAAAGTGATGCTGCCTTAAGTAACTGCTCCAAAACAATTCCTCCTTCAGCAACTCCTCAGTGTAATTCCTTCTCTGCCCTTCGTGTTCTGCTCCATCCTTGCTTGGATGCAGGTGAAGGTGTGGGTCTGGCTGGGACCCCTGCTATTTGCACAGCCACAGCCACAGCCACAGCCCAAATGTGCACGTGAAAAGTGGTGGTGGTTATCTGGAGAACAGAAAACTCAAATAAATGGAACCTCTTAAGCTGAGGAGGAGTTGGTGGAGCCTTAGACAACGACTGCTAAGGCTGGGTGTGCTGCAAGATGCCATGTGTTCACCAGGAGAAGCCCACTGCCACTGCAGGAGGGAGTGTGAGACATCCCCACTGCAATGCTGATGGAAAATCAAAGGGGATCTCTGCTGCACATGAGCTAACACATCTTTCTGGTGAGCAGGGAGGAGAGAATTATGTTGTGGTGCACATTCTCCTCTAGTTAGCATGAAACAGTAAATCTCCACTTGCTTTCCCAGCCTTTAACACTGTTGCTCAAGACTGAGCACATGGAAACGTTCAGGGAAAATGAAGGTTTAAGGTTCTGTTTGGCTTGGTAGGGAAAGACACACTTTGGCAGAAACGAGGGGGAGGAAATACAGGCTTATGAGGATGGGTGACATCACTGTGCAACGGCATCTCTCAACCAACAGAAGTATGTTTCTTCACTTATTACCAACAGACCTAAATCCTCAGCAAAGTTGCCACTCACTCAGAAATACAGTGAATAACTATCAACATTCCTCCTCTCCATCACTTTAGTATTTTATTGTTACATTTTTATGCCTTTAATTTGGAGCAGGAGTGATGAGCTAAGAGCATCTCTGTGGTCAACTGAAGTATCACTAGAATTTGTTTTATCCCACATGTCCAGACATTTCCACTGGAGCATGGAATAGGTTAGAAGGGAGGGACAGGGGCTGAGCACCATATGAGCTCCATGTAAACAACTACCATACAGGAAACAAATTTCATTGCTTCCAGGCCAAGGTTTTTTTATTCTCCAGTACAAAGTAGTCTACAAATTTTTAAATATATATATTAAAAAAACCCAAAATGGTATGTCCTACATCTACATAAATACAAACCTACACATCGTACACATCAAACACCCAACTCCTCCACAGTGTCAGCACCCTCTGGAAATGTTTTATGAAGAGAGTTCTATTGTACTCCAGACAGATTTGCCTCAAGAATAAACAGAGTAGCTCCAGATTAAAGGAAATACTCCTTGCCAAGAACAGCACTAAAATTTTAATCAGTAAAATAAACATTCTTACTTCTTACTGTGTATACCTCATTGACTATTGTGTTATCTTCCACCAGCAGACATCCAAACTCCCCTCATCCCCCCACTCCCTTGTCCTTCATGAAGTCATCCTTTCTTCCATCTTTACTTCCATCCAAAGAAACCTCGCTCATGTCAGGGGCAATTGCATGGACTCATATAAAAGGACACAAGTATTTTCATGTTAGAACTCCAAATTAAGGAAAAAAGAGCTGGCATGCTTTGAGTGTATTACAACGCTAAAATTAAAAAAAACTGGGTAATAAAACAGCAGCCCCAGAGGTTAATTACAACAAAGGTTTTCAGAAGACAAACACTCAGGGTTCTTGGTCACAACAGTCCATTTAAAACTGGACACTTCTGAATTTGAATGCAAGAGTGATGGAAGACACCTAGGGAAGAACATTTTACTTAACAGGAAATGGCCTAATGGAAAAAGTGGAGAAGTCAAACACTCAGCATCCAAAAGCCTGTCTGTTTTTCCACCTAGAAGTACCTCCTACAAATATCACCTCCTTTGCATTAACCCTAGGTGACGGCATTACTGAAGTTCTGAGGACAGCCCCAAAGGCTTCTGTGTCGCAACTGCCCAATACTCAAAACCCACCACATTTAAATCACAGTTCTGCTGATCACAGCTAGCATCCATATGATTATTAAAAAAAAAAAAGTTAGGATTGTAGAAGCTTTCAAAAACTTTTCTAGAAACTCCCTCACTTTAGAGACTACAAAACCGTAACGTTAACAGACCACACAAGACGACTGTGTTGCTTATTTTAAAAAAATATTTTTAGGTTTTTTTTAGTTACAGATTATTGCTAAAGCTCTGTTTCAAACTTGCATCTGCAAAACACCTATCTTGAAAACAAACAAAAAGCCAGTTTCTGCTGGTTGCTTACCCACCCTAGGAATCAAAAATAAATCATTGCAACAATACCCACATGTAGGAGAATGTTTTATTTCTGTCTCTTATTTCTGTATCTCTAATAAGCATCTAACAACAAAGCTACAAATCTAGAAGATTAATAATGCAGTATTAGCAAGGTTAGCAAGCTAATAAATTCTTTTAGAGAAACTGCAACTAAGCGCTTGCCAATACCTTATTGCACTCTATTGTGAGGTACAAAATTAAGATTTTTATCTTTAAAGAGCGAAAATTTTCAAAGCAGGATCTGCATTATCCCACACTTCATCTGGAGATGCTGAAAGGCTGCAGTTGAAACCACACAGATTGTGGATGTTTGAAACGATCAGGACACTTACCCGGTTTTATTTTTGTCCAGTAAGCTGGGAGCCAAGGATCTGATGTAGGCACAGGTACATATGAGCAGCAGGATCACAGTCAGAAGACTCTGGAAGTTGAAGATGGCAGACTAGGGAAGAGAATCAGGAAAACAAAGAATTACACTGCTGCAGTGCAGAACTTCTCTCCAAGTGGAAGTTCTGGAAAAAATGGGTGACCCCTTAAGACAACAAAAAATGAAATGTACAATGGCCACGAGTCAGAAAACCTTTGTGTCAATGGAATACAGTTGTGGTAGTGAAAACAGCAGTGAGGACTGGCTGGCAAGTAAACCAGTAGCAAAGGACAAAAAAATAGCACCAAATGTGCAGGAGGGTTGTTAATATATCACTTTTTAAAGGCTACAGGCCAAATTTAACAGATTTGTGGAAATATATACAGTTAAGCCCACCTGAACTGTGACAAGTGATTGCTTTTCTTTTCAAAAAATGTTCTGACTTTAAATTGAAAGCATCTTTATTGTAAATTTCAGAAGTGCTAGTAATATGGTGAGTCCTGAAGAAATGGATGAAATTGCCTTAGGATTAAGAAGTAAAGTTCTATTGTTGATAGCAAACACTGATCAGCCTAGTGGCAGTAAGAAGAGACAATTCTTGAGAAACTGCTGCACTATTTGGCAATTTACTAAAGCGTGAAGTATTAGTAAAAGGCAGAAAGTGCATCCCATAAACCTTTTTTTAATGTTATTTTTTACAGTTTTGGGGTTTCTCTTAAGTGTCTCAACTGACATTCTGGTCAGCATAACAGCACCAGGTGGTATAAGAGGCAACTGCTTACTTCAAAAACCTTTATTTTACCTTCATTCTGTTATGCTCATTTGCAAATCTGATTTAGTGAGAGCTCCAAAAAAAAAAAAATAATGTCAAAGCAAATGCAATAAATTCACTCTTTGTTCTGGAATCCTGATGAACTTCTGTCTCCTGTGCTCGTACTGCTCAACCCAGCTGGCCAAGCAGTAGTATTTAATTAAAGGTAAATATTTAGCACTTAGGAAGGGATATTACATTGGCATTTCCTTCTCCAAGCATATTTTAGGGCACATCAGAGCCTTCATTTCCACACAGCCTGAGGCACATCTCTGTTGATGTGCACATGCTTTCCTCCTATGTCACAAAATCACAACATTTTGAAGCTCCAGTAGTCAAATCTATCTAGCTAAAGAGAACTATAAATAAAATCACAATATTCTAGTTCACTATGGCACTAGCAGGAAATCAGGAGAGAAAAACGAGAAACTCTAGTAGAAGGAAAACCATTGGAACATGCACAAGTGTTCCAATACTGAGATCAAAAACCTGGTGGCCAAAACCCCCCAAAATCAACAACAGCGAAACAAAACAAAAAACTTTAGCTTATTTAGAAGTCCCCGTGAATTACATGAACTCCATAACATGCACAGAGCTGCCAGTCTGGATACATGCTTTAGATGGGGTTAGCTATCTAAAGTTATTTCAGTATCTAACTTGATGGGCCAGCATCATTACAGAGATGCTCTAACTCTGCACCCTGTATAGTAGAGATTTCAGCATCCCTCAAACCCATCCTTTCTGTGATGAGGGAGCTGTGATCCCACACCCAAAGCCAGACCTCCTGTCCCAAACACGAGGCTGCTTGGTTTTCTCCTGCGCCACAGCCTTTGCTAAATCATGTTTAATTTAGCATTTCAGCTCAGCTAGCCACCCCTTCTGCCCTATCATGTCATAAACAATGGACAGACTCTTCACAAAGGACAACACACTGCCATCCCCGGCAGCAGCCTCTGGAGCCTTTGTGCTCAGTAGAAGTTTCTGCCAGCTCCAGAAAACAGGGAAGTCTCCATTCCCCCTGGCTCCTGCGGGTCTAGGAACGCAGCGGGGCCGGATCCAGGAGTGGCTGCCTCTCAGCACGGCCAGATACTGCCTATCAACTGATTAATTTGATCAGTCCTGTGGGACAGACAGCTGCTCTGACAGCTCACAGCCCTGTTCCTGCCAGCCACCCACTCCCATGAATTCCTGCAGCTGCTTCCCGAGGCGGCACCGGCCACTCCAACACTGCAAAATGGCAGAAGGGCACGCTTGCTTGCTCTTAAGCAGGGGCTGTAAATGTATACTCATGAAATGTGCCATCAGTCAATCAACTGGGGCAGTATATAATCGTATATAATTGTCCTTTGTTGGGGTCTTCATGTGTTTCCCCAGATATGCATCACTGTAATTGCATCTGAAGTGTGCTCTGAGTGATGCGTTTATCTGCACGGCCACTTCCAAAGGACAGATGTGAGCATTCCAAAATTTGCTTACAAATTCTGGAAATGAGAACTTATTCCTGAATCAGACAGCTTCTCCTCACATCTCAAGTAATTCTCAGGGGCCAGCTGAATTCACAGAAAGCAGCAACCTACATCCAGCTGCTCCAGCTGATGTAATTAAAAGCTGCTGCAAGAGTTATACATTGTTCAGAAGCCTTTCAAAACACACTGCATTCTCATACCAAGCTACCTGGACAACACAGGCGCGCTGCTGTTCATTTGTTTAGACTGGCTTCCTCTGATGAAAACGTATTAATTGCAATTTTTGAGTTGTGTTGACTGGCTTACTGTAGGTCCTGTGAGCCTCATTCCTGCCACAAAGAGATCTCAGCACATGGTGCTGTCTCTTACACTGTGACCCTATGAGGGTGAAACGATGACTAACTTCCTAAGACTCACGCTGCAGTGCTAGAAAGAACCAGCACTAGCATTTTATTCTGGTCTTAGACTGTGCAAGCTTTAATTCCACGGACTGAAATTTTCTACATCTGTATTTGGTGCATTTCTGACATAGTGGGAACACCTCAGTTGCCCCATTCTGTGTCATTCCCCTCGTGCCCCCTCCTGTGTGGAGCACCACCACACCACCTGCAGCACTAATGAGGTTTTGTATGCACCTGAACTCGCATGAGCCAAGTTTCTTCCAGTGTCTTTGGAAATTTAAGACCATGGACTTCAGCTTTAAGAGCTACATGCCCCAAAGGATGTTCTAAATCCTTCCCAAAACCAGGCCTTTAAAAAAAGCCTCGATATTATCTCTTGATCATAATGTATCACAGTAAAAACTCCATATAATAAACCATAAAGAATTAATACTCCAGAAAGCTTTATTGTGTTGGGATTAACTGTGGTGGCTGGTATTAAAATAAATACTCACAGGAACATACAGTAGCTGGAAATCAAGCGGTACAGCTAGGGATGTCTGAATGTACTCCCATCTGAGTATAAAATGAAGTTTAATGTACTTTAGTAAGTGTTGATTGAAAAATTACCTGTGTGGTGGCTGTGACAGGGAATGATGATCACAAATGCACAGCTCCTGAAAACCTCCCTAGAGATAATGCTGTCCCTTGGCATTAAATTCACTACACTTGGGCAGAAGGAAAAAGTAAAAAAAGCAGCAGCTCAGAGTTGTGGTTATCAACAGGTCTTGCACCTCACAAGAGTATTTAATTCAATATGCAGAAATAGCTATAATGAATGCATTAGTTGTAAACCCTTTCCTGCACTGACAACAACAGCCATAGACAAGACACCGTAATTTATCCACCTCTGCAGTTTTCACTCACTTCATTACCCCAATATTTTCTGCTTCAGACTTGGTTCCCTGTCCTTGCAGACCACCACACTCACAAACCACTTACTGATGCAACCCTTGGGCAGCACAGTAATAAATCACACCCTGGGTTTTGACGCAACTCTCTGTGTCACAAAGGACCTGCTGATTCTCCCCTTGCCTCATACACTTTTGTTTAACATAAACCACCCAGTATCATGGTTCCAAGGGAGATGAAACGTGCAGGAGGAGAGCATAAACCCCATGCTCTGTCCTTCTGGGTTGGTAGAAAGCGTAACTCAAAAGCTCTCTGAGTTTATCTTAGCAGACTGAAACCAAAGCTTAACCTTCCCTAGACTTTATTTAGTGAAGTATTTACAAAATTATTATTTTATCTCTGATTGCAGCATGACCATGATGATTTCATCCATCTGCGCTATAAAAGCAGAGGCCATTGTAGCGCCAGCAAGTTGCAAAACTTTGCCCTGTGGTTACTACTTTAATAACCAATTTATGTGGGCAAACACAGATAAAAAACTGGAATATTTTAAAGGAAGTACAATTTTTGTGTAATACGCCACAGAATATTCACTCTTTCTAGAATGGTTTCTTTTTTTCCTCCCCAATACATTAAAATTGATGAGTGATTATGTTTTCTGGAGCCAGATATGGATACCCAATTGTTCAGCTGCCTTTCTCATACTGGAATACGAGCAAGAGCTTACGTAGTGCAGATAAACTTTAGTTAAGCAAGAGCTGATAAAAATTTCATCACAGAAAAGTTAAATCAAGCTATGAAATTTTAATGAAGCGTTCCTTACAAAGCTGAAAGAGAAAATGCTTATTATCTAAGGTTTCCATTAGGCCTTGCAATTCTTTTTTCGTCAGTAAAAATCAAATTTTTAGGAGTATAATACCTAGAAACGTAATAGGATATAAATCACGTAGTAGTACTCCCAACCTGAAAGCCAAAGCAATTGCTAAAAACTAATTAAAACATGAATCTAATTGTATTATTTTCCCATCTATTAAAAAAAGAATTATTTTTCCCACTGCTGCCAAATGCAATCTGATCAAAACGAATGGAAAACAAGAGCTTGTGAAAGAGGCACGCTAATTAACACTCTAAAAAATTACAAAAACTGCAAATTAGTTAAGTTTGAAGCAATTATTGGCAGAAGTACAAAACAAAACTAAGCAAGGGGTGTTAATAAGTATCCAAATACCAGCCAGAGGTGGCTGTTCCAGCATAAACGGGGTTTTTTACTTTGGATTTACAGCACGTTCTCCTCAGTATTTAGTTTTCAAATAAGTACCGTATTTTATGTTCATTCAGATTTCTGTCTAAAATATATATTTTTGCACTCACAGAATGTAAGCTAAGGCTTGATTAGAGAAGTAGGGAATTCTTTTCCTAGTCATTTCCTGGAGAAGCACATTGTCAAGTTTGGATGGCAAGTACACCTACCTTTCCAGTCAACTGAAGACTAATACATCTATTTAAAACATAACCAATCTCAAACAATCAAACACTTAATTAAACATATGGACACAGTTGCCCTCTCCTATAAAAACACATTTAGGATTTTTACCGTAATTCAAATCCACAGACCAGCAGTGAAAAGACACCTCAAGCCAATGGTGCTGAAATTTCACACTTGCTTGAATTCCTTCCTCTTTGCCCCAATACCTAGTTTCAAAACTGAACTTTTGCTGCAAACAACTGGCAGAGGCAGCATTTCACCAATTTCACTGTAAAAAACAAAGTGACTATTAAAGTCTTTTGCCAGGGTCACTGTAACACAAACGTGCGCATGTTCACATACTTACTAAACAAACAATTATAGTGAATACGACAGTAAAAGCTTATAACACCTTTTCCTCCAGGTCTTCTCTGTAGATTATACTTTTTTAAATTGTACAGAGATATTTTTCCTCTGCTGTCTTCCCCCATTAGATTAAAGTATTTTAAATAACCCCCCGTTTTTTTTAAGTAACTCTCCCATCTGAAGTTGCACACCAAACTGTTTAGCTCACCACAAATACACTACTGAAAGTGAAAAACCAGTAAAACCTCTGTGTGTGAATGGAAGAGGTAGAGTCATACTAAAGCACACTTTGAATTAGGTGATATCCTTCCTATAATAAAAGCAGCATGCAAAAATCAGGACTTTGTAACAGAAGGTGTTACAGGATTGTGAACATGGCCATGGGAAAAAGTGTAAATTCTCAAAAAGATATATTCTAATTTACCTAAGAACTACAAAACAGAACTGCAAATATTTATTGTATACTATTTACCAAATGTATGGGTTTTTTTCTCATTCATAGTCAAACCATCTCTTTTTCAAGCACAGTAAACAAGTATCAGGAAAAAATATACTTAGTCAAGAAATAATGACAGGTTCTGCTAAGTCTGTCATGTCCCATGGTCCTGGGCAGGTCCACATTATCTCTGCAAGTCTCTTGTTTGGCAGAGGTTCAGCTGTATTGGTTTGAATTTTTAGCATCTGGAAGACAGGTACTATTTTTCACAGCTGTTCCCACCATGTTTCCACAGTCACAAGGTTGAAAATCAAAAACTTTTGTTCAGTTTGAATGCCCAGCTCTGTGCATTAGCGGAGAAAACATATTCAGTGCTGCATCTGTTACAATGAATGTGTGTGGTGTCTAATGCTGCAGGCAACCAAAAAATTAAATTGTGACATTCACTTTTTTTATGGCACTCAGCAAGGAAATGGTTTCTCACAACCAGTGTCATTCTGGGTAAATCTGTTCAAGTAGACTCACTGCAGCCTACTTTTCCAAAAAAGAGACCATCTTACATTGACAGAATAATTTCCTCAGTTCAATAATCACAAAAATTAAACACTGACAAAATATTTTCAGATTGTTTTCTAAGATGAGAGAAGTATCTAAACTGAACACTTCAGGTGAAATAAATTCACAATATGAAGACACTATAAGATGACCTAGGAGATGTTTTTAAACCTATGTACCTCTAAGTAAACATAAAAACAAAGCTGGATAGCAGTCTGAAACAGGATTGACTCCTTCTTGTAATTTTGAATAAGACAAACACAAAACTTTGTACTTGAAACTCCTGAAAGATTTTTTTTCAGAGCAGTGTCTTGGGTTCTGGTATGTTTATATCTGACAGCTTGGTTTGAAATAATATTTACTAATGAATGTTTTTACATTTGCTCTATGAGCAACTCCCCTTCCTTCTATAAACAGCACACTAAGAGAGCAACAAAGACTGTGACAGAAATGTCTGTCCTGGTGGAAAGTTCCCAAATCAATTTTTAGGTAGTAATGTGGGGCCAGGATCAGTCCCAACCAGAGGGCGACACAGAAGAAGCCATTTTTGTCAAGTTTTCTGCACTTCTTTTAAGTTTTCTCCATCACCAAATTTTCCCTGAGTGTAACCTCACATTTCTGCTATGAAGAAAAGTGAAGACCACCCCTCATGAGGTTAATTAACTTCAATGTTACCTTTGGCTTCTTCCCTCTTTCCATCCATGCATGTGGCAAGCTTTTCAAGGCCACCAGGAAAATTTCTGTTTAGCTTTCAGATGTAAAAACCCTAAAAGCTGGCAGCACAAAATGATTTGTGGAAGTCTGCAAACAATATACATTCTGCTCCTAAATAAATGAAGGAGCTGTGCATCACTTCCAGCAAGTTTGGAATCCATTGAGAAGCTTCTGGCTTTTGTAGCTGCCTTAATTTAAAATAGTGAGGGTTTTGCTTTAAGTCAAAATGGTGAGTCTTTTTCCTATACACTGGCAGTGAAGGGGAAAAAAAATACACCACAATTTCTGCTTTCACATAAAAGAAAATACAGGTAAATGTCAGCTTACGCATACATATATATAATTTTTTTTTTTTTCTGCTTGGCAGCAGCTGGCCATTCACCCAGCACAAGTTTTCATCTGCTTATCAAGGATGGACATGGTAAGGAAGCCTGGAAAACAACGGGATGCAAAGTTTCCAAGGGATGAAGTCCTTTGGAAATCCTACTTCAGCAAATGGTGCTATTCAGAATGCTGTTCCTCTGCCAGAGCTGCAGCTCTTACTCTTTGGACAAGGAGAATAAATTGGAGATGTAGCTCTAACCTCTTCCATTTCATGACACATAGCAGCTGTTTCCTCTCTCACACTCAAATGTGAGCTCAAAAATTATCTTTTTTTTTTTTTTTTTTCCCTAAAATGCCTGGACACCAAAGGTGGCATCATGGAGGACCTAAAGTCCTGGAGGGTTGCTGCTCTCTTAAGAAATTCAAACACCACAATCATGCTGAAGAAACTTATTTTCACCTTATTTTCAGCATTAAATCATAAGCAAACCACCCTTAGGAGAGTTTCTTGTTTCAGGGTTCTTGAGGCACAAGGAGGAACCTCTAGCAAGGAACAGGCACAAGTGGAGAAGATAATCCTAACAGAATCTCATTCACTTGCCATAATCTTCTTTGATTTAAACATTAACTTCACTTTTAAGTTACTGGTACATATTTCTTACATATCAGCTATAGAATATATAAAATATAAATTACATAATAACATAGTATTAAACAATTAGTTGTATTTAATCATCACTGAGCAACACCAATGTCTCACCAAGTTCTCTTGCCTTTTTCTATCACCTCAAACCCTCTGAAGTACAACAAAGAAGAGTGAGGTGCTGCTGTAATTCTCTTCATTCACCTTTCCATGGAGCTGACTAAAGGTCTTTCACTTTCTGCACCCGTGTTCTACATCTCCCGAGATAATTTATGCCTCTCATAAAAAAAACTCCTTGGTTTTCTGCTTGGAGCCCCAGACTAGAGCAGGTTCATCTTAAATATCTGCCAAGGAATGCTCAGGTGAGCAACTCCCAGCAATTTCCTGCTGGTGATAGGATCTGGAGCCTAGGAAGCTTTTTTTTGAACTGAGCCATAAGAAACTTCAAGTGCTATAGATCTTTTCTGTGAATACACAGGAAATACAGCAATATTCCATTAAGTTGCACAGCATCCATGCAGTGATGGACAACCTGCCAATGCTCATGGGAGAGGGGGACCAGGTGATCTTTGAAGGTCCCTTTCAACCCAAACCATGTTCAGATTATTATAAAAATGTCACAAATTCCTATCTTAAAATATACTCTGTGTTGAAGTTAGGAGCAAACATGTATTTTGTACAGGAAAAACTTACGTTAACTCTGTTATAAAACTTATGTTAACTCAGTTATTCCTTTGGCCTTCCTTTTAATTTTAAATTCATGTATCTGCTCTGGTCATATAAACACTGTTGATACATAAATATTTAATGTATAAACCTTGACTAAAAAAATATTTCACTGCTCAGCTTTAACTATGACAGAAATGCAAACTCTTCATTTATATTATTTGCACAGAGACTGGTAAAATGGGCAGGAAACAAAAAAATAAATACCAATGTGCCTCTAGACCAACTCTACATAAAGTGGGTATTTATTTATACACACACACACACATATAAAAACATATATATATGTGTCCCTGTATTTATATATATATATTTACATATATAAACATATTATACACACCTACACTCTTGATATGTGTGGTTTATAGAAAAAGCTATATTGGTAATATATAATAAATAATTTTTAAAATATTCAATTATACATTTGCATACACCTACAAATATCTATATAAGCGTCTTTATATGCACATGTATTTGTTATACACATAATAAACTCATATATATTGATAGCCTATTCCATATGTACTTACATGGGGTTTTTTTGTATTTATATGTTTTAGCTATTTATATAACTATGAATACATTTAAAAATACGTATTTATATATTAAGTTATATTACACAGATGTTCTTAAAATTAGGTATGCTGCAGACATGTAAGTTTTGAATAAATGTAAAATAAAGGTAATATATATCTATACACACACACATACATAAGTATATATAAAATTTTTCATATTACATCAAATATATAGTTTTATATATAACCCATACAGATTTCATGAGTAAATTGACCTGGGCCTCTACTGACACCTCGCAAAAGCAGCCAATGTCGCGACTCACGCGCTGCTCTATAATCATGACGTCACTTAACACAATGACGTCATACAACAACACCCGTGACGTCACGCGGCACGAAAATGACATCACGATGCCCCGAGAGACACCCACAACACCTGACCGACCTCACACCGGCTGATAATGCCCCGCAGAGACACAAAACGTGTCTTTCTCTTGTCACTAAACCCCTGACGCAAACCCGCACCGCGCTACTCCCAGCAAAGCCTTGGAGCGGCTCCGCTCCCGCGGGCCGCGGCCTATGGCGTGAGCGGCCCCTGGGGGCGCCGCCCAGGCCAGGAGGCGTCGCCGGGGACCGTGCAGGGCCGCGGAGAGGCAGGGCAGCGGGAAGGGCCCGGTCCCGGAGCGGGCAGGGCCGGGCAGCCCCGCGCTTACCATCGCGCCGCGCTCCGCCACATCACCTTCCGGCCGCCGCGATGGGCGGAAGCGCGCACCGCGCGCCCTCAGCGCGCCGGGGCGCGGGCGCGGCCGCCATTGGCTAGCAGCGCCGCGGGGCGCCGCGATTGGTCGGCGTGGTCGGCGGGAGGCGGGACGGAAGGGCGGACACGGCGCTGATTGGCTGGGCGGCGCAGGCGGAAGTGGCGGCGCGGGAGGTAGGTCGGGCGGCCCGCCCCGCGCGCGGCGGCGCGGGCGGGACTGAGGGGAGCGGGGGAGCGAGCGGTATTCCGGGATCACCGGGATATCGGCATCAGCCCTTCACTGGCCCCTCGCCGGGACTGAGGAGAGCGGGGGGGGTTGCCGTGTCCCGGTGTGGGGACAGCCGGGATCACCGGCATAACCGGGGTCAGCCCTTCACTGGCCTCTCACCGGGACTGAGGAGAGCGGGGGGGGTTGCCGTGTCCCGGTGTGGGGACAGCCGGGATGACCGAGATCACCCCTTCACTGACCCTACACCAGGCAGGCCATGGGAACCTCGTGTCTTTAGTGGGACGCAAAAAAACAAAC